CACCACTCCACTTTAGACCTTTCTCCATGTTCTCATACTGAAACCCCATACCCATCAAATATGTCCCCATTTGTCCCTGCCTCCAGCCTCTGGCCACCACCAATTCACTCTCTGTCTCTGTGGATTGACTCTAGGTACCTCATATAAGTGGCATCGTACAGTATATATCCTTTTGTAACTGGCTTATTTCACTTGGCACAATGTCTTTGAGGTTCCATGTGGTAGCAGGTGTGAGAATTTCTCTCCTTTGTTAAGGCCTAATAATATTCCTTTGCATGTAAATACCACATCTTGTTTACCCATGTTGATGGACACATGGCTTGTTGCACCTTTTGGCTATTGTGCATAATGCTGCTATGAACATAGGTGTGAAAACGAGGTGTATATTTTTATGACCTCTTCTCTTCAAGCAATGAAATTTCCAATATGAATAATTGCACTCTGAGTTATCTGTTCTGTAACTCTGAAGAACTGTGTAATAGAATTTCTGAAAGTGAGTCACCCCTGTATTCTCTTTACTCTTTCAAAATAGGAAGCAGCAAAGAATAAATGTCCATTTCACACTGAGGTGGCAAGGCCCATTAGAGTCTACCAGTGAGGAAATCATTTTCTAAGGGTGATTACACACGCAGATGTCAAAACCCTCAGGTAACTCTCTGCTCTCCTACCTTGGCTGGATAGTGCCCTGAACTTCTGTCATTCTCAGAAGATTCTCCCCTTCCCACCCTTCTCTGGAGTCTACCATCTCGACTACCTTCAGCCCCTGCCCTAGATTATTCTGCATGGGGCTGTGGATCCCTCAATAACAACAATATCCAAGAATTCCACACTTCTCTAAGGTTTTCTGCATTCAAGGGATGCAATAAAGTACAAAAAAGATGATTTTTTTTTTTTTTTTGCCCTGTACTTCCTTTGACCCAGATGGATTGCTGTTCTACTGCTCCCCAGTCATTTGCAAATGGCACAAGAACTAAGACAAAAGAAGAGGATGAGAAAAGAGAAATTCCCAGAGCTTGGAAATGGGGACTCAGTCTTTATCTGCAAAGTGGGTTAAGAAATGGAGAACTGTAATACCATATAGAAGGTGTCTGTATTTCCTGTGTCACTTCTCCAGTTAAAGTTTTCTGTAAGGGGGGGAAGACTCATGGAACAAACATCAACATCTGTGGGTTGTCGTTCCTACTTATTCTTCATGATAGCACTGCAATGTGGCTCTCTATCCCCATTTCACAATCCAGGAAACTGAGCCCTAGAGCCATTCAGAATTTCCCAAGGTTGTGGAGTTTAGATGGGAACAAACTTCTGTGTGACTCCAGTGTTGCTACTGACATGACCCTGCTCTGCCTTCCCCACCTTTAAGATTTCCCTTGTTTTCTGTGAGATGATTTTTAGAAGGGGACAGTGACAGTCTGTTCTCTCTGGGGGTACATCAGTTTGAAGAAGATCAGCAAGGGACCTCCCTTTCCAAGCTGCAGCAAGCAGTTCTTGGAGCACGGGAGGAAGTTCTAGCTCTCCCTATTCTCTGTTGGCATCCTCCTTTGTTTTTCCTCATTACAATGGGCCAACAAAATCCCCATCTGTCCCTTACCCGTCTCCTAGCCTTGCCTGAATGTCTTTGTCACCCCAAATTCATATGTTGAAATCCTAAGCCCCAGGATTATAAAATTAGAAAGTGAGCCTGTAATCCCAGCACTTTGAGAAGTCGAGGCAGGCGGATCACCTGAGGTTAGGAGTTTGAAACCAGCTTGAGTAACATGGAGAAACCCCATCTCTACTAAAAATACAAAATTATCTGGGCATGGTGGCGCATACCTGTAATCCCAGCTACTCGGGAGACTGAGGCAGAAGAATTGCTTGAACCCGGGAGGCGGAGGTTGTGGTGAGCCAAGATCACACTATTGCACTCCAGCTTGGGCAACAAGAGCAAAACTCCATCAAAAAAAAAAAAAAGGAAAGTGAGGCCTTTGGGCAGTGATGAAGCCATGAGGACAGAAGGAGACAGAACCCTCATAAATGGGATGGGTGAGTGCTCTTGTAAAAGAGGCCCAAGGGCACTCATTCACCCCTATCCACCATGTGTGACACAGTGAGAAAGTGCCATCTATGAAACAGAAAGCTGGATTTCGCCAGATGCCAACTCTGCCAGCACCTTAATATTGGACTTCCCAGCCTCCAGAACTGTGAGAAATAAATTCTGTTTGTAAGCCACACGGTTTATGGTATTTTGTTATATTAACAGCATCCCAGATGGACTAAGAGAATCCCTAATATCCATTACTACTCATTTCCTTACAATTTTCAACAATGAAAAGGATAGAAATAAATGAAAGATTTAGGAGGTATATCAGGTGGAACTTCCTGACTCCGAGGAGGTAAGGAATTCAAAGAGGCTGCTGTAGATCCTTTTTCAGGAAAGCTATAAGGCAAAGGGACACCCTGCCCCCACCCCGCCCACTTGGACTGGGCACACTCCTGCCTAGAGGCAGGGGGAGGCACCAAATGACCTCCAGAGGGCCCTGCTAGCCCAGGAAGCTGGGAGCTTCTGGTGCAGCCGCTGCTTGGCTGCAGATGTTCCCTGTCATCAATCACACAGTGCATCTGTTTGCTGCGCCGCTTGTTTAAAGAGTGAGGCGTTTGCTAATTGAAAACTAAAAGATCCATCCGTCTCACTCACAGCCAGCATGAAATCCATTCAACCATGTAAGATTGGGGCAAAAAAAGCAGCACAGAGCTACAGTGTCCTTGGGTGGGTGCATCTTATGGAGCTCATCTTCTTCCTGCTTCTGCCTCCTGATGAACAAGGCTCCCCTCCCCACCCCAGAGCAGCCAGGGATGGCCCATATTACCATTGTCTAACATGTCCTCATCTATTTTTCTCAGTAAAGCCCAGAGAGATCGTTATTTTTAGTTCCCACTTAAAAATGGAGAAACTGAGGCTTCACGAGATCAGACAATTTGGGCAAGCCCACACAACGGGTAGGTGACCAAGGCAGAACACCAATCCAGGTGCTCTGGCTAGTCTGACCCATCCCTGAACCTATGTAGAGGAGCTGAGTTGGGAGGTACCAAATATCCCCTTAAGTGGATTAAACCTAGGAGAGAATGGCCCAAGGATATACAAGGGAAACACTGGGATGGCAACCATATCTGTAATGTCTGATCCCTTAAAGGCAAGTATGGCAACATTCTAGGACTCCCATTGATGTAATATCTCCCTATAGAGCCTGCAGGCAAATGGAGGCCAGTCCAGATCAGCAAGATCCAGGGGCAGGAAGAGTCATGGTGGGGTGAGGTGGGAGCCCACAGCTTCCTCTGCCCCAGTGCCTCCAGAGATGGCTGCATTTGAGAGAGGTGCTGTTTTGTGGCTCTGGAGAGGGGGACGGTTCAGTGCTGGACTCTGTGGGATTTGAAAGGGCACTCCATCTCTCTGGGACTCAGTTCTCCCTTCTGAGGTGAGAAGGAATTAGATGAATGCTAAGGTCCTTTCCAGCCCTCACTTTCTGTAATTGTGTGTGTCATTGGAGGAAATGCTGAGATGAAGTTAGTCCTTGTGGCCCAGGATGGCTCGACTCTAGCCATGCAGGGCCGACTCCCTGCTCTGCAGAGTCAGTCTGCTGCCCCTGCTCTTCCCTCTCCCTGGAGTGCTGTGCCATCTTCTCCCCTTGGTAACTGGTGTTGCTCCTTCAATGCCCGGTTCCTGTGAAGTCTTGCTTTTTTGTGCTTCACAGCACCTGTTTAAGCCTCAGTTATTTCCCTGGGGGTCTCCTCTCTGGATTGGCAGGGTGCGGGATCAGGGGCCTGGTTTTCTTTCTGTCTGTGACTTCTGAATCTGACATAGAGTCTGGCAAATTGAGGACAGTTGGTAACTAATTGCTGCAGAAGAAAAGAAAGAAAGAAAGAAGAAAGAAAGAAAGGAAAGAAAGAAAGAAAGGAAAGAAAGAAAGAGGAAGAAAGAAAGAAGAAAGAAAGAAAGAAAGAAAGAAAGAAAGAAAGAAAGAAAGAAAGAAAGAAAG